GGTGGCCGGCCGCTCGCTCCTTCCGGGCGCTGGCAGCTTGTTTTCCAGCCGGCAGAGCAGGGAAATGGCAGCCCAGCAGATGCATTTCCATTGCAAACCACAGCTCGGGCCATGCCCCAGGCTCCGGAGCGCTGGGATGAGGGCAGGTGAGGAGAAAGGATGCTCCCGCAGCACAGCACCTGGATCCCTGCCTGACTTTGGGCACATCAGCATCTATCTGAGGCCATTTCTCCTTGGATACAGCGATGTCCCTGGATTTCCACCCCAACAGTGATGCTCTGCCCCGGTACCTGCGCAGATGACCCCAGCATCCTCGTGGTGTCCGCAGTTATGGATGCCCCAGCCGAGGCTGTAGCAGGCGGAGAGGAAGGGCTCGCTGCCGTCGCAGTTGACGTTGTCCAGCAGGATGAGCCCTGTGCCGTAGCCGAAATAAGCATTGCTCTTGTAGTCCAGGGCTTGGCCGCACCCCAGCTGCTTGCAGACCACGCTGGCATCGCTCAGGCCCCAGTCATCGTCACACACGGTGCCCCAGCTCCCGCGGTAGAGGATCTCCACGCGGCCCTGGCAGGCATCGGTCCCGCTCACCAGGCGGATGCTCCCGTCGCCTGGAGGGAGGATGACAGGGTGAGAAGGACGTTGCTTTCCCCAGGAGGTCACCACACAGCGATGCCACCGAGCCTGCATCCGGCAGCGCCCGTGATGGCAAAGAAACCGGGTGAGAAACAGAGGGGAAGGGGCGATGCTTTGGGGCAGCACCATAATGTTAGCTTTAGGAGGCTATTGGTTTTTTTTAGCATGTTGTATTGTAGACAAGCCAGAAACATACAAAACCAGAATCATTGCTTAGGCAAAGAAACGTTTAACTAGTCAACGGTGGTGGGTGCTGTTCTCTACAGCATTTGCTGTAAGTGACAGCCAAGCAGCTTACTTTCCCCATCCTGTACCGAGGCTGTGAGGGTCCTGCTCGTCGGTCCTTCACTGGCTTTTTTGGGGGGGGGAAGCAGAGAGGTGGCATCCGTGTCTGCCTGCACGGATCCCTCCAGAAGCTCCATGTGCTTGCTTTCGCTCCACGGAAAGCAAGAGGGTTTGCACCAAACCAGCCCCAACAGGGAAAGAAAGATGGGTTTGCAGCTGCACTGCCCTGCCTGGAGCTATCTGCCCCATGGTAGGTGCAGGAAGGTGGATGGATGGAGCCAGGACCTTGGCTGCTGGCACAGTAGGAAGTTGTGGCATGGGGACCCGGACTAAACCGTAACGCTGCAATGAGCTGTGAGGAGTCCGGATCCCACCTATGGTGGGATTTGGATCTGAAGTCATGTCATATATATAGAAGAAACAGTAATACCTTGATTCTACTGCTGGGTTTACTCCTATTTCTTTTGCTAACAATGTTGGTTCATGTTATCTTGTCCCAGCTCCTCATCTGGGCTGGTGGGTTTATCCAGGGAGGTCTGACAGGCAGCCACTCACATGCCCAAGGGTTGTGGGAAGCATCCCGGGAAGTGCAGCCCACCGACATGGAGAAGAGCTGCCTGAGCCCACGCTTTCCTCTGTAACCACAACCAACGGAACCAAGCTGCCTCCTGAAAGCTTCTGCACAGTGGAAGCACCTTTCCTGGGGGTCTGGTGTTTGGGTAAACTCCTGCATCTCCCCTCAGGACAGCAGCATCTCCTGGTCTCCTTCACCAACCAAGCCACAAACATCTGATGGCTCAAACTCAGAACCATCTCCTGCTACTCAGGTCCTTCCACCTCCTGTCTCCACAGCGCCTTGATTCAGGTTCCTGCTCAATTCACAGCCTCCTCTCTCTGGTTGCTGCTGGTCCAACCCACCAGCCAACCCAGCATCCCGCCCTTTCCAATCCCTGCTTCTGCAGGATGCAGGGATGCACCGAGCAGTTGCAGCTGGGGCTGAGCTCTGGGTCTGCACATCCTCATGTTTGCCATTCACCCACGTGTGGCCGATGAGCAAACCCTACGTAACCCTGCATGAGGAACACGCTGGGTGTACAGGGGTGGGCATGGAGCTGTTCCACTTTCGCTTGCCAAGCTCCAACGCTTTCCACTGCTTTTCTCACCTTTAGGAACATTTCCCACTGAAAAGCTCAGCAATTTAAAGCAAGACAAGACAAAAGGGGGAAGAGCAGTTGGGCAGCGGCTGACTCAGAGGCAGGAATGTGGGTCGACGTGTGCTCTTTCCCCAGGGATCCTGCTGGAGAGGTTGCAGAGTCCCTGAGCTGGGAGTGAAAGGGAGCACAGAACAGGCTGGTCACCCTATGGAGCACCAGCATGCAGAGCTGGGAGGTGGCCTGGGTTGAGGAAAGGGATGGAGGAAGGATGCAGAGGAGGTCTGGCTAACCCAGACTCTAGATACAGCTCCCCCAGGGCATCTGCACCTCTGCTCTTCTTGCCCCCAAAGAACCAAACCTCATTACCATTGCATACAACAGCCACATCCTCATAGTGGTAGCAGTTATGGATGCCCCATCCGTGGCTCCAGCACTCGCTCAAGGCCACCTCCCAGCCCTTGCAGTCCACGTTGTCCAGGAAGATGGGTCCGCTCCCCTGGCCGAAGGTCATGGCAGGCGGGAGGGGGATGGCGTGGCCGCAGCCCAGCTGGCGACACACCACGTTGGCATCCACGATGTCCCAGTCGTCGTCGCACACCGTCCCCCAGGAGCCATTGTAGAAGATCTCCACTCGCCCCTGGCACCGGCTGGGCCCGTTGGAGAGACGGATCTCTGGAAGGATGGGCAGGCAGAGGTCCCTCAGCAGCAGTGAGCACCCAGGAGGTGCCATGAGGAGGACGTGAGCCCTGTCTGCACCAAATCTCTGCTCCTTACATGAACTGCTGGCCCTTTGCTGTAGCACAAGGAGGCTGTTGGGTTGGTGCTACCCAATGGTTGATCATGGGCTTCTCTTCATCTGCTGGAAGCAGCAGACGCGAAGACTCAGCACATCTCTACATATACATGAGATGCAGCATCATCCCATCATCTTGCCTACTGGTGGCCAGGGCAATAACCAAATGGGAGAAGAGGCCCCCATGTGGCATCATGTATGATCTTGGCACGTGTGAAGATGCAATTAGCAAATTCTCATTAGCCTCAATGGACACATCCACACCTGGTCCTACATGGGTGTTGGTGGGATGGAGATGATCTCTCAAGCTGGGGGTGTATAAGCACCTCTGGCTGGCCACATCCAGGGAATGATTTGCTTGGGTATGACGAATGGCACAGGGACTCAGCAGGAGGTGGCAAAATTCCCCTCTTGGGATAATAAGTGGAATAGGGATAATAAAGAAACTCTATTTCCTTTCTGTAAAAGGAGTTCAGCTCTTTGTTGCCACTTTTTGTTCCAAACCAATATGCTCCTTTTTTGAAATCCCCCAAGCCCCATTTTTAACCAGAACCTACATTTTTCGACTACAAAACTTCCTGGAGAAGAATGGCTTGAAGAGAAGAATCTCACCTGGGAATGGCAGCAGCACAGGCTCGGAGGTGATGCCTGGAAGGGAGAAGGAAAGGGATCAGATGTCCGCAGCATCCTTGCAGTGAGGATGGGGGCAGCTCAGAGGGTGATGGCAGCAGGGACGCGGGTGGGCATGGAGGGTGCCCGTCCCCTCACTGCCGTCCTTTTGGGGTGAGGATGACACCAAGCTCCAGGAGAAGAGGTGCTTGGCAGACAGGGAGGGAGTGGAGAGGAGCAAGGACCATGGATACAGGACCCCAGCCCAGCCGGTAACCGGAGCCTGGGTGATGCTGCCAAGGGCTTAGCAAGGGTTTGCTGCAGGAACATCCTCCTGCAGCTGGGAAGGAGCAGAGTGAGGTGGGAGAGGAGGGACTCCTCCGAGGTTATCCCCATCAAACAAAACTGGCTTCATGTAAACCCAGGGGAGAGCTGCTGGTCTCCTGCAGCACCGGGGCCGGGGCTGGTGTGATCCAGGGGTGTTGGAATATCAGGATGGGGTCTCTTGATCCCAGCGGGTTCTGGAAGGGCAGCTCCATGTCTGCTATATGCAGACAGACCCCTGGTGGTTTCTGCCTCGGGGCTCAGCTTCCCAGCCGCAGGAGAAGCAGCTGCGCTGGGGCTTTAATTCCCATTTAATTCTCAACCCATCGTGGACAAGCAGCATCTGGAGGGAGCTGAACGCTTGCAGGGTACATCCCCACCCCAGTCAGCTGGGCTTAAATAGGGGCTCTGAAAGTGCTCTGCCAGCATCCCTCCTCCCAGGGGTATGGATGTTCATAGGGGACCACGGGCAGAGCCGAAGTTCCCCCTAGCAACCCACTCCCCACACCAAACCAACCCCTCTCCCACAGTTTTGGTGTTACATGGGCACAAAACCTCAGCCCCAATTCTGAGTGATGTTGGGGCCCCCTTTGGATGCTGCACACACGAGGCACTGAGGGCTCCAGCTTGTCCAGGGGGTCATGGCAATGTGATCATGATGCCCCAGGGGACAGTGGATGGGGATGGGTGTCTGGACCTTGTGGATGTCCCTATCATTGCCCCATAGGGTGCTGAAGGGGTTTGCAAGCCTCAGGATGCTCGAGGGCAGCACAGACCAACTCAGGCATCCAGAGCACCTTGGGATGAGACTCCGGCTGCACAGATGCGTAACATCTTTCAAGTTAAATCCCTCCACACCAGTTATAGCACCCAAGGGCTGATCAACACCCGTGGTGGCTCCGTGGCCTCTTTTCCTACCCCTGGCTTGGACCAGCCCTGTCCTGCTTCATGCTCAGCCCACAAGCAATGACATGAAGGTCAATTCCTATGTCACCACCATGAGAAGCAACGTGATCCTGGAGGGGATGGTCGAGCGGATGAACCCACCTCCCTTTTGCCTTGCTTAGGACGTTCCCTGGGAGACTATGAAGTCAGCTGCAAAGCAAGGCTGTCAAAGAAAGACCTAGAAGCCCCAGGAGAAATGGGACTAAGGCAATAGGCTGCTGTAACTATGACTTAGCACTGGGAGTGAGGGCTAGGAGTGAGATGTCACCCATAGCTGGACCCAGGCAGGCTGGAAAGTGATGCTGTGATGCCAAGGGAGAAGTAGGGATTAAACAGGAGACCAAGGGAGTGGAAAGGCTTGATGAGGGAGAGGATGATGAAGGATACGGCAGCCCCATGGGCTGGGTAACAGGAAAGAGGTAATTCAGATCATCCCTGCACAGAAATGTGGCTTTTTAGGAAGAGCTTTTGATCCTGGTTTGTATTGATTTTTAACACCTAGTCCACTCCAGTGCTGAGAAAAGAGTGGGGAAAAAGGACATTGTTAAATATTCAATATTCATCTCCCTTTAAGTCAAAATCAAAGCTCTGAAACATTCATTTGGGAGCAACCTCCAGCAAAGTCACAAGAGACCTGAAGAAGATTTGCCTGTTATGTCTACAGTAATGAGGGACGAGGAGGAAACAGTGGGTTCTGAGAGGAGACGGAGCCCTCCACGTTCCTCCGATCCAGCTTCACAAAGCCAAAAGAAAGGGGGAAACTAGCTCAAGTAAACACCATCCCTTTCATACTGATAAATATAACCACCAAATGCAGGGACAAATCACCCTTCGTTAGTGATTTACCAGTGCCCATTAATGAAGAGTCTGGTGGTGCTGGGGCCAATGGCAAAGCCACTGGAGTCCCCACGGGGTCCCCGCATCCCAACTATGGGCACTTGGAGGGGCCGGGAAGCTCCAGATGACGGGATGGGAGCTGTAGAACCTGCTTTAATGTACTTAGTGTGTCTGACTGCACCCTAATTGGCAGCTTTCTGTCTGGCTTTGTCTTGTGGGGCTCTTGTTCCAACACAGGAATGGCTTTTCCCAGTTCCAGCCTGGAAGGACGGCGCCTGCCAGGAGTGATTGGGATCAGTGTCCTCAGGGGATGGATGCTCAGCAGGATGCCCTTGCTTCACTTGGCATCACGCATAGGTCATGGTGGGAGGTAAGAGCTGAACTCGCTCCTTCCATCCCTGCGCACACTCAGCGCTGTTGGGGACATCATGATATTCCTGCTCCATGAAGAAAATCTCCTGCCTGCAAACCTGAAGCCAGGAGGGAGATGGTGGGTAGCTAAACCTACCCATCCCATCGCAGCATGCAGGGGCTCACCAGTGGGGCTGAGGAAGAGGAGGAGAAGGAGGAGCGTGGCTGGCACCAGCACCCCAATGTCCAGCATCCCTGTGCCATGCTGGGTGGCCAGACATGGACCGAGTCTCATCGCTGCACCGTGGTCCTCCTGCAGATGCGTGTCCAGAGGAGGATGTCCCTGAAACATGCAGGCAGCAATGTTAGTGGTGATGGGCAGCAGAGCCTTTGCCCCTCCAAGGGCCATGCAGGACCTATGAAGTCCCTCCTCAGCATTTGCTTGAGCAGTGACCAGGAGTGACATGAAAACCAATTTAGGTTGGATTGAGAAGAAGAGAGAGCTTTTGAGCATCAAGATGAAGCTGCTGGGCTGCATCCATCCATGAGGCAAAACTGGGAGCAGAGAGAGCCTTAGGCTGCTGTACAGGCAGCAGGATGGACTCAGACCCATGAGGTTACCAGCAAACCCCATCCCACATATACCATATACCTCACACCACGCATGGGTAAACTGAGTCACACACTGAATCCAGGCAGAACTGTGAAGGAGCTCCCCATCCCAGCCTGGACACAGCCATGAGCAACCCTCTGCTTTGTCTCGGCTCTGCTTGTGGTCTTCGCCATCCCATGAGAAAAAGCAGGGAAAGGCACTTCCGTGGGAAGGCAGAAACCCCTGGGATCTGACGGGAGAACCTCATTCACCTGGCGGATGGAGACATGAACTGCACAGCGACAAGATGGGAAGCAAACGGGAATGTCGGGCAGAAAACGAGGAAGAGATGAAATAAGATGCCATTTCCCCTTCATTCACTGTTCCCTTCAGGAATCACTGACGCACTCCTAGCTCGGTTTCACTTTGGGGAGCGGGATGGAGCTGATCCTGCTCTCCGTTACCCCTCCTGGGACCCGGAGCAGCATCCCAGCGGTCCCAGCATCGCGCTGATGCCAGCACTGGGACGGCAGCGTGCGCTGGTGGAGCAGTGCCATCGTGAGGATGCTTTCACACGCCGGCTCTGGAGCCAGGCTGCAAATCTCACCGAAGCAGAGCCCTAAATTAGTCCCTCCAGCCTACACAAGGCGCGTGTGAAGGGATGGGCACCGGCTGCTGCTGCTTGAAGCATCTACTGATGGGGAGAAACTCGGGAAAGGACGATGACATCTGATGTACTGGATCCCTGTGGAAACCCCTCTATCAGCCTTTCGCTGCTCCTGGTTTTCCAATGCAGCGGGAAGAGCTCCCATGTGCCGGTGCCGTGTCCATCAAGGCCATAGGCTGGGTGTGCTCCAAGCCTCCAGACCAAGCCTTTGGCTTTGCTGTCTGCACCAGCGAGAGACGACAGCAGCGCAGCACTGGAGGTGCAGGATGGATCCACCATGGACAGGGTACATGCCCATTCCACCTCCCTGCTCTCAGCACTCAGCTCCTGCTGCCCAAGCCTCGGAGGACACCCGCCAGCAGACAGGCAGCTCAGCGATGGGGATGAAAACCAATCCACTCTCTAAGGTGGCGCTTTCAATACTCCATTCATCCCTCCTGCCGCTCCGAATAATGTCCCCTTTTGTCCCCCTGCGGCAGGGCTGACAGACGGCCCCCCTGCTGCC